GCTCGGTAGAGTAAAATAGATACATATATATAATGCATGCTCGACTCATGGACTCACATTCTAAACCTTTCGGAGTGACGTAAGGTCGGTATCCTCTGTACACGTTATTAGGACTAACTCTTCACCATGAACCTTATAAGAATCAGGAAGTACCAATAACATTGATAACATAAGAATAAGAGAAGCAACATCAACATCAATCGTTCCATAAGAGGGGAAACAATGTAAGTACTGCTAGCTTCTAAGAGTAGAGTATCTTTGGAAGCTCGTTCATTACATTATGTACAATCGGAGTCGTGCAAAGGAAGGAAAGGGATAGCCTCACATACCTTGTATATACTGCCCCAATCTCAAGCTATGCAATTTTCACGACTCCTTAGTCTACAATAAGAGAAACGATACTATAGTTACCATTCAAGCGTCATAACTATTATGTATCGACCACAACCTATTTTACGATGAAACGGACAACACCTCCCCTATATATATGACTTCACACAATTCCAAACAATCACCAAACAGCCCAAACAACATCAATAATAATCATATTGAGCCTCCCAAAATAGTCCACGCACAACAAATCACTTCATACATACGACGGCCACCGTAGTCGTGTTAAACGACCCGGAAATATTACGAAGAACTACCAGCCCACAACCCTACATCTATATGGTGTTTTTCCACACCCTTCCGCCTCCAAAACTCCACAAAAAAGTAGTAAAACACGCAGCCCAACAGCAACACAAAACAATCCACAAAACAGTCTGCTACAAGTGAATAACTCGAACTCACGGCTTCCGATCACCGTCCCGTGAGTTCTTACATGTATAGAACGAATTACCATGAATTCACAGAAGAATAAATGTATGAAAGATAGCAGTAAACTCACCTTACTTGTTGGATAGCTCAGCCCTTATCTTGGTTCTTCAAACTCTAGGGTTTACCCCAATTTGAACTTGAAAGAGAGGGAAAATCAATTAGGGTTTGTGGATAATTTTTGGGAGGAAGTTTGCAGGGGTTTTGGTCTGGTTATTTGTGAAATATAATGAGGGATATATTGCAGAAGATAAGCCTTTTAATGGGCTCTTTGTCTGACCCGAAATTGCCTCTTTTTGGGCTATCATTTAACCAAGTAGGTGACCCACCTACTTGTCACCTAGCAGCTTGTGCAGTCTCGCAAAAATGTCTATGTCTCTCTACTCCAATGTCTCATTGATAAAAGGTTTAATGAATTGGAAACTAGACTCATAGATCTTCAATTTGGTGGGTAGATCACCCCGTAATTCCAAGTATATTGGGAGAAAAGCTTAATAACATTTGACCTAAAGTTTAAGTAAAACTATGAACTTAAGTTGCAACAACTCTTGTCGACTTTTGTTTCATAACTCGTTTGACTTCAAGACTATGATACGGATATTTTATGATTCATATACCTTAAAATACGACCTCTTGAGAGTATTAAGCACCCCTAGGTTTACCCAAAAATACGGCTGACAACATCCTTGATTCGTTTAACTTCTAATACTTGTTAACCACCCTTATACACCTTTGTATCATTTAAGACCAATAGGATTAATCTCTTATCATCTCAAAGATAATCTCTTCATGGATTTACATCGACGACCTTATGGCATGAACTAACGTATGTGAATATGGGTTGTAACACGGGAGCTGTGGGGCTCCTCTAAAATCAAATCTCGAAGTCCATCCACATTGGGCACGCAAACTCGCCCCTGCAACCTCAAGACTCCATCCGCATCTAAGGTAACCTGCTGGGCACCTCCACGCTGCACCGTGTCCCTGAGGACACACAAATGGGGATCATCATACTGCTGATCACGGATACGCTCCAATAATGAAGAACGAGCGACCGTGCAAGCCAACACACGACTGGGCTTAGAAACGTCCAGTCTCACTAATTGATTGGCTAAGGCCTGAACATCCAAAGCAAGCGGCCTCTGATTGACTGGAATATATGCAAGACTGCCCATACTGGTTGACTTCCTACTCAAAGCATCGGCCACCACATTGGCCTTCCCCGGATGATACAAAATGGTGACATCATAATCCTTCAACAACTCCAACCACCTCCGTTGCCTCAAGTTCAATTCCTTTTACTTGAACAAGTACTGAAGACTCTTGTGGTCAGTGAAAACCTCACATGCCACGCCATACAAAATAGTGCCTCCAAATCTTCAAGGCGTGAACAATAGCTACCAACTCTAAATCATGCACTGGATAGTTCTTCTCATGAATCTTCAATTACCTCGAAGCATAGGCAATAACCTTGCCATCCTGCATCAGCACTGCACCAAGCCCAATACGGGAAGCATCACAATAAACTGTATAAGGCCCGGATCCTGTGGGCAAAACCAACACCAGTGCCGTAGTCAGGGCTGTCTTGAGCTTCTGAAAGCTCGCCTCACACTCGTCCGACCATCTGAACTGGGCACCCTTCTGGGTCAATCTGGTCATCGGGGCTGCAATAGATGAAAACCCCTCCATGAACCGATGGTAGTAACCTGCCAACCCCAGAAAACTCCGAATCTCTGTAGCTGTTGCTGGCTAGGCCAGTTCTTGACTGCCTCAATCTTCTTCGGGTCCACTTGAATGCCCTCTACTGATACAACGTGACCCAGAAATGCTACTGAACTCAGCCAAAACTCACACTTGGAGAACTTGGCATATGACTGGCTATCCCTCAGAGTCTGAAGAACCACTCTAAGGTGCTGCTCGTGCTCCTCCCGACTGCGGGAGTACACCAAAATATCATCAATAAAGACTATCACGAACATGTCCAAATATGGCCTGAACACTCGGTTCATCAACTCCATAAATGCTGCTGGGGCATTGGTCAATCCAAACGACATGACCAAGAACTCATAATGTCCATAACGAGTGCGGAAAGCTGTCTTAGGGACATCGGATGCCCTAATCCCCAACTGATGGTAGCCAGATCTCAGGTCAATCTTGGAGAATACTCTGGCACCCTGAAGCTGGTCAAATAAATCATCAATTCTCGGCAGTGGATACTTATTCTTGATTGTAACCTTGTTCAATTGCCGGTAATCAATGCACATTCTCATCGAACCATTTTTCTTCTTTACAAAAAACACTGGCGCACCCCAAGGAGACACACTGGGTCTAATGAAACCCTTTTCAAGCAAGTCTTGCAACTGCTCCTTCAACTCCTTCAACTCTGGTGGGGCCATGCGATGCGGCAGAATAGAAATGGGCTGGGTGCCCGGAGCCAAATCAATGCAGAAATCAATATCCCTGTCGGGTGGCATACCCGGCAGGTCTGAAGGGAAAACATCTGGAAACTCTCGAACAATAGGCACAGAATCTATAGGAGGAACTTCGGCACTGGAATCACGAACATAGGCCAAATACGCCAGACACCCCTTCTCGACCATACGTCGAGCCTTCACGTACGAAATGACGCCACGGGTAGAATACCCAGGAGTGCCTCTCCACTCTAAACGGGGCATATCCAGCAACGCTAAGGTCACGGTCTTGGCATGGCAATCCAGGATAGAGTGATAGGGTGATAGCCAATCCATACCCAATATGATATTGAAGTCAACCATATCTAAGAGCAACAAGTCAACACGGGTCTCAAGACCCCCAATCACTACAACACACGAACGATGGACTCAGTCGACCACGATAGAGTCACCCACCGGTGTAGACACATATACAGAAATACCCAAGGCAGCACTAGGCATGACC